TTTTTGTTGTGGAGTTTGTACTGTGGTTTATGGGATTTATGGTTTGTTTCACTAATTGGTATGCTTCGTGATAGTTTGTATGTCTATGGTGTGTATTATATGACAAGTGGATTGCTTAATGGGTGTTCTTGTGTGATTCATCAGGTTTGTAGTTTGCTTTATGTTGAGAGTTTATACAGTGTATGGTTTGTATCAGTATATATGTGGTTTGTTTAATTAGTGTTCTGGTATGTTTCATTTGGTTTGTGGGTTGGTTTTGTTAAAAATATTTATAGTTTTTTTTTTATTATATGGTTGTTGTTTTTTGTTCAAATATCATAAAAACCTTGAAAAACATGGATTTTTTTGTTTGAATAACAACGAATATGGATAAAAACTAGGAGACTAATCACTCATTATTGCTTTTGGAATGCTTGTTGGCAGCCTGTTCGTCAAGTCTCTGCTTTCTAGTCCTTTCTAGCGCTTTCTCAAGTCCAAATTTTGGCCTCTTTTTGTTTATCATGGGTCTTGTCGAGCATTGAATCCCTTTACATTTGCATATTTGTCGCTCATAGTTGAAGTAGCAGCACTTAGTGAGGGCGATGGATTGGTAGCTGCAATTATCGAAGAAGCAACATGCAAGATAAGAAGTGTGTTTCATTTGCTTGATTCAACTGTTATTGGTTTGGATTAGACCACTTTTGGCCTGCATTGGCCTGTTACTGGCTTAGATTGGATTTTTACTAGTGAGCATAAATAGAAATGGTAACAAAGTGTGATAAATTACCAGTTTCTATTTTTCAGTTCATTGACTCTAAAGCATATGGCAAGCTTGTTGTGAGAGCTCCACAATCTTTTTTCTTAACCATTGAGTAGACCTTGTCATTCATTGACACTTTTGTTGCCAGGATAACCATGCTAGCATACAGTTCTTGATACCTCTCTACATAAGTATCTGTTGCAGCACATTCAGTTGTGTTAATCACTTAATTGTAAAGTTCTCTCCACTTTTGGCATCTTTCGTCCATCGAGACATAATGTATTCATTAGGGATATTTAATTGCTTAATAACATCATCATTAAATCCAACCATCTCTATCTGCCTCATTATATGTCTGCACAACTAGCCTGAACTTTCTAACAAACGACATGAACACTCGTATTTCTTCTCCACTTTGTTCACTAGCACGAATCTTTTATCGAATCCTCTCTGTTTCTTCACTTCATATGCTGCCATTCCATCTTTGTCTATAGATTCATTACGAAACACAAAAAATGCAAGGCTTTCTGAATACTCATCAATAAAAGAACTGTAGATCTTAGTTGTGTATAGCTTCATGGCTTGCTGAACAAGTGGCCTTTCTGTCATACCGATTGTAAGATGAAATACAACATACAAATTTTCATAAGCATATGGTCTATATAAGTGAATTTATGGTATGTTTTGTAATGTTTGTGGTGGGGATTGCAGGGTTTATGTGTTGTTTTAGGTGTTATGTGGGTTGCATTCTAGTGTTTCGGTATGTTTAGCGCAATTGTGGTTTGTTTTCTACTGTTTCTGGTGTGCATAAGGAGACTTCTGGATGCATTCTACAGTGACAAATTTTAAATAACGGAAGGAACACATACACGTTGTTTGGCACTGTGTTTGCCATTAGATCATCCATGTCCATTTCATCCGATCTTTTCCGCACTAACATCTTGTTGAAGTATGTGAAGAACTCAGCTAGGTTGTCATCCGGTTGAAGGTAGTTTACAAGACTCACTCACCTGTGAGCTTCGCATACTAGCTGTGAAGTGGTCCTTAACCCATGCCAAAGACCACTACTTCATGACCTTGTAAATTTAATCCAACCAGTTTCTTGGATTGGAGCCTTCTTATAGATAATATGTCTGAAGCATATTTGACCAATTGTATTCAATTTCTTCTTCATTTTCTACTGCAAAGTGGCGTACTTCAAATCTTCTAGAATGTTTGTATTTGTAGTGTCAAGATACTTCACTGCATTCTACTTGATATGGAAAGTACACAAGCCATGGAATGCTTTCCCTGGTTTCATTGATTTTTGTCTCCTCCCTGGGATATAGTTCTTTAGATCACGAGGGGTAAAAGGGACATTCAGCCTCTCCCCTGAAGTTTTGGTGAACAACTCGAATGATTGTCGTAATGAAACTCCACAATCTGCATGCACTTGCGCGACCATTGCACGAATTTATGAGATCCCCTTATTTAACATCAACAAATGCTTGAATTGTGTTATGTTATCTACTTGTGTAGCAGCCATTCATCCTCTTTTATATCATATCTAAATTTGATTAGAGTCGGGCAACCAACTCTAGTTTTCGGTACAACGCATTGATAAGCCTTGACATCGATTGATCCTTTATTCATGAGATTTGACTTGCTTGTTGTCTTGTATCCTTGTTTGCTGCAGCCAAGGTTGTCAAACCGGTTTATGCCGGTGTGCCGGTTTTGTAAGTGGAATGGTCTGACCGTGGTACAACCAGTATTCACGCCGGTTGTGCCGGTTTTAATAAAATACATAAGGAAAATGGAAATCCTCAATTCCAAATAAATTAGTCATAAAAAAAACAATTAGAAGAATTATTTCACACAAAATAATTTATAGCTAAGAATTGGTAACTAATACTAAACAATTAGATGCTTAAAAATAAAATTTTATTAAATAAATTTTATTAATGTTTATAATGATTTGTGTAAAATTTAGTATTAGATATATAACATATAAGGTTAATATAGACAACAAAATTGCTTGTAGCCTACTGGTATATAAGTTAAACTAAAATGAATAAGAGGTCCTTGGTTCAAATCCTATGGAAGATGTTTATTTTAGGATATAATGTGTGTAACATTAAATTTCAGTTTCTGGTCTAACCGGCCGGAATTTCCGGATTTGACCACAGTTATATACCGGCCCCTTTCCAGCTGGTTTGCTGACTGGTATCGGTTGAACCGGTCGGCATGAAACCGGTTTGACAACCATGGCTGCAGTAATATCTAACATATCGTGCTTTTTTGGTTGGCTGACTCTTTGTAGAACGTTTGGCAGTTCTCAGTCCCTCACGCTGAAGCCAAGATCATGAGCATAGTTACTGTAGAACTGTTTTGTTTCGTCAATGGTTCTGGAAACCAACCCCTAACTAGTGTAGTCAAACTCCAAATCGTTTGATGCCACACTTGTAAGCAATGATGAAATAAATGAGCACTTGAACAGTTCATTTTTGTGGTGATATTTACTAGAAAACTGCAAAGTGATTCGCATTGTAGTGAGTCATGATAATTTTATGACATTTATGGTGTGCATTATTATGACTATGGTTTTTTATTACAAACAGATTACGGATATTAATAATTTAGGATTTTATGGTGTGCATTGGAAGTGTTGTGGTGTGCTTAAGAAGTTTTGTGGTTTGTTTTTAGGGTTAGTATATTTAAATGACCTAAATTGTTCACATATTTAACATATTGTCTAATCTTTTTGATCTATAGCTTTATGGCCTAAACAATCAGTTAAAATAACTTAACTGGCCCGAGCCAAGTGTTGACCGTTATGTTTGAAAGTCAAAGTCGTTGACTAACGGTCAACCTACCATGTCACAACTCAATCACCTAATATTGATGACGTGACTGCCACATGGTGTAAAAATGGGTATTCTATTTAAAAATAAAATTATACAAATAATAAAATTATAAAACTTAATATTATGAGGAAAATTAATTGCAAGTTAGTGAAAATAAATGGTTGGATTTTTTAGTTACTTAAATATTAAAATCTCATTAATTTGTTTCCATTTTTGATTCTTTGTTCAGATTTATTTGGAATTAATTTGTGTAAAATATTAAAATATATTTTTTAGTTACTTAAATATTAAAATATATATTTTGTGGAAAATTAATTTGGAATTAGTGAAAATAAATGATTCAAAATTTAATCGTATTTTCAATTTTGTTTTATTTCATTATTTTCATTTTATTTCTTTGATTTCTTTGTTCAGATTTTTGGAAATTTTGAAAATAGGTATTATGTTGAAAATTAATTTGAAATTATTGAAAATAAATTTCAAACTTACAACAAACCTCACACATAGCCCCAACTTAGTTAATTAATTAACAAATTATAATACCAGTTTCTTAAGGGGATCTCCCAGTCTCTTCTCACCTTGTCTACACATAATATAATACGCTGAAGGAAAAAACGGGAGCCCCATTTCAAAACCTCTGCCTCCAGAGCGTTTTTTGGAGGGGTACCTTCGGAAACAAAAAATTGCCCACCTCTCACGTCGCTGAACGGGCCCACTTAGCCTAAACTAACCTTTGTGTCTCCCAACTGTTCCCAACTCTACTTCCTCCGCCGGTGTCTGGCTCCCGCACAAACCCAATCTCCCACTGATCAGCGAAGCTGCAAATCCCATCCTAATTCCACCGGTCGTAAAAACTTCCATCGAACACCGACCAGTTTCTGTTCTCCGGTGTAGACTGATATCAAGCTCACCACCATTTCGCCAATCTTTACCGAAGCCACTATCATCTATTGCCCAATTTCTTCCTCACAACCCTTATCTCCTGGTGTCAAATGTTTGCGTGAGAATTATTACATCGCTTGAACCCCACAGGAGGTTTTCATGCGGCTGTCGATATGCAACCTGCTTATTTGGTGCATAGTCCTTCTCCCTTTTCTATTCTCCTTCCCATCCCACCACAAATTCCTTCGTCCTATATCCATTTCTCCCCCGCGATGAGAACGGCGGCGGGTACTAATTGTGTTTTTATGGTTTTATTTTCTTGCCTTTTATCTTCGCTGCACCATGGTGACCAAGAGTTTAAATTGCCGGAGATCTCGTCGAATAAGAGAGGATGGGAAAGATAAAGGTAAATCAAAGGTCTCCTCCGCCGTCAATTCCAATCGATTCCACTCCACCTATTCCGATCAAATTTTTATGTCGCTCTGCTTTTTCTGTTGAAGTATAGATGGCCACAGCCTTCTGTGGTCATTCCGTAGTCGGAGAATGATGAATGCACCCCTATTCTAGGTAATAAACAATGAACTCTTTATTGGACTCGATCCTTTTATTTTCATGGCGTCATCGACGTTCATCCCCCATATTGCAACTTCGAAATGAACTAAATAGCTAAAGATCCTACAAAACGAAGAGGAACATAGATTTGAAGTTGTTTTGGGGTCTTCTGCTGCTGAAGATTTCAATGGTTGAAGCGAGATTTTAGACAGAGGGGGGGTTTGTTGGAGGTCAAGAAGAAAATATTGCAAGCTAAACTTGAAGGCAGAACAATATTTGAAGGTAAAAGCTTTATGCAAAATATGGTGGATGCTACCAATGGATTTGACGATTCGGATGAGCCCTCTCTCAAGGTTGAAGTAACGGATGATACCGAACTGATCTAAATCTTTATATTTTTCGACTGTGTTTTGTATTAATAATTCAGGGTTGTTGGCAAGGTTCTTCTCGAACTCAATTGTTGCCATCAAGTAAATCTATTTTCCTTTAATTTTTGGCTTATGATATAACCTGTGTTCATCATTACTAATGCAGGGTGTTCGCTATATAATGCAGGGAGGAGTCTGAGGGCATCATGGGGAAAATAAAGTGTGGAACTATTCATTCGAGCTTCTCTACGATCTCTTAGTGGTGGTTTTGTCGGATTGTGGTTATGATGTTTTGTCAAAATTGCATTTCATTCTTCTATGCTTTCTCTCTCTGCATAGGGTTCATGTGTTAGATACCTTGGATGCAAGTTTAGGATATGAAAACTGAAATGTGTAGGATAAATACATAACTCTGATAACATGGAGGAATTCCTCCAAGCATGGCGAATATAGGTGCATTGTTAAGTGAAACTATAAGTCTGACTAGATTTTCTTACTTAACATGCATTGGTTGGCTATCAGTCCATAGATCATACAATGTAGGATTTTAGCATACTTATATATGCAAGTCAAAAGCCATAGCGAAAGAGAGCAATCATTTCCTATCTCAATAACTCTTATGTTCCTTTCTAGGTATTATGTGATGTCTGTGAATGGATGTTCTATGAGACTTTGATCTTAGTTTGTAATCCGAGGATACTTTTATTCCTACCACTTTGAATAACTTCTAAGTTCTAACTCAGTCAGCCACTTCATATTAAAATTTGTTTGGCACATTGTGACCGTATTCTATAATAGCTTATTCTTTTGTATCTAAGTAAGAATTGTACATGTTTTATGGTAGGAGGGACATGGTGGTGACGATCCTAAACATAGCACTGCCTATATGATAGCTTTTGTGAGTTTTCAGTTTTCACAAACACGTCTATGAAAAAGTTTCTACTCTCCAATGTAGTCATCACTTACAGAGTCTTGCTTTCTGTTTCACTGTAGGTGCAAATTTGCTTCATCAGATGGTTGGTATTGCAATGCCAAGGCTTTTGACACTATTTGGAACTGCCTTCTTTCACGACTTGGGTGATATTTTGTACTTAATTTTGAATAGGCAAAATACACTTGTATAGCCAAAACTTTCGCGCTTGTGCGAATAATAGCCAAATTTGGAGAAATACCACTTATAGCCAGCTTTAAACTTATTGTAGGACAAATATAGTCATTTCCGTCAGATACTTTAACGGTGTTATTAACACTGTCTACTTATTTGACGGATCGCTGACTAGGCGCCAACTCAGCGAACATGTCAGCACCAAATAAGCAAACAATGACACATCATATTTTTTAATAATTTAATAATTACATATATAAATTAAATAAAACTATTTAACTTCTCCATGTGAAAAAGGTTACCTTCTTAGTTCTTACTTCTTACTATAATCAGTTATATAAAAAAACAAAAAACCAAAAAAATGTTGTCTCTCTTCCACCATTAAAAAATCCTCCCTCTTCTCAGAGAATCGAAGAAAAAAGAACTCTGCGCAGCCACCATGTTCACCGGCGTCAACCCAATCAACCGATTTTACTTCCACTCCTTGTACACCCTCCTATTTCTCGCTCTGTCTTGCTCCGCGGCAAACCAAATCACCAGAGGCCAGTCGCTGAGAGACGGCGACACTCTAATCTCCGGCGGCTACAAGTTTGAATTTGGTTTTTTTGGCCCGGAGATTTCCACCTTCCGGTACCTGGGAATCTGGTACCACGACGCCGAGGATGCGGATTTGTTAATCTGGGTCACGAACCGGGATGCAGATCTGGTCCAGCAACACGACGGTGAGGGTTGAGTCAAACGGATCTGGCCCAGCATGAGGACGCTGACGAATTTCCAGTACGGGTTCAAGTTGACCCGAGAAGACGACGGGCGATTGTACTTCACGACTCACGTACAACCCGGCCAACGCCTCCGCTCTCTTGCGGTTCCGAATCGGGTGGGATGGGATCGAGGAGCTGCTCTGATGGAACGAGATTCGGAGATTCTGGGACGTGTTGCAGAGGCAGCTGGAGAACGAGTGCGAGAATTACAATCGGCCGATGGTGATATTGCAGCAGGTAGCGGGTGGGAGCTTTAGATCTGCGATGGGGGATTGGGTTTTGCGATTGGGGGATTAGGTCTCGATGGAATTGGGATGAGGGAAAGTAAGGTCGACGATGGTCAAGCTTCACCGGCGGTAGAGGAAGATCGGAGCAGATGTGATGGAGGGAGAACCAAATCTAAGGACGAAGTAGCTATAGAGACAGACGGAGGCGGTGGGAAAGTTGTGGAGCGGGGTGGTTCATATCCATTTTATTTTGTTTTAAAATTTTTCCCTTGTTTTTTCAGTTAATTATAAAATAAGGATATTTCCAACTCAGCAAAGTCAAGCATAAAAGGTGTCACGGCACGTTAGTCTAGTCAGCAAAGCCGTTAGTCCAGTCAGCATGTAAGCTCACACCGTTAAAGAATTGGACGGAAGTGGCTATAAGTGGTATTTCTCCAAATTTGGCTATTATTGGCACAAGCATGAAAGTTTTGGCTATACAAGTGTATTTTGCCTTTTGAATACTCGCGTTCTTAAATTCTTTTGGTTGATTTCGAGTACATCAGTGACTATTATGGGATGGTTGTTGTGGCTCTTCCAATTAGTGATGGTTTCTATATTGGATGCTGCTACGTATTCTTTTGGGGTCGTGGTTGTGCAAATGGTTGTCCTCTTTAAGTTTGCTGAAACATGCAGTAAATGGCTGCCCTCATTGTTGTTAGATGGTTAATTCCTTATCGCCTCCAATTTAGTTAAGAAACCATATTTCATTAACTCATCATGCCCACCCACCTCAAATTTAGTTAATGTTGGGTAATATATGCTGTCAAATGTCTACAATCATAGACTGGTCACTGAATTGTTATTAAGTTCTGTGAGTTGTTATTAGTAAGCTTCTGACTTGGGAAATTAAAACCACATATATTTGGTGATTTACGAGTTGTGAGGGGCATTTCAAACACGGGGGTGTAAATCGGTAGGCAAAAGCAAGAGTAGCCTTATTCGTTTACGTTGAATTGTATGCTTGCTTTTTTCATATACGAGACCCCTACTGATATACCTTCCTAATTTGGGTCAACAAAGGTCAACAGTAGCTGCTGTCACAATTGAGAGGAGATGAGGGGAAATATAGGAATGAACTTGCCTCGAAACTTGAAGAGAAGAGGTAATGTAAATGTATAGATTGTGGGGCAACTAAATTTGAGTCCTGTGCTTCATATAATTATTCTAGCAAATGAATCCAAAACATGACAGATATGTGCTTTAAAACCATGTTCAGTTCCGGGCCTTCGCCCTTTGTTCAGTTTCAGAGACTGAGTTCTTTCTATTTACATGACGTTTTTCTGCATTATTTGGTCAATCTTAGAACCATCAGGGTTGTGTTTGAATGGCAGAAAAATGTAGTTGTCATGATCTATCTAGCTAACTGAAACAATTCAGTATAATTAAGATATTCTATGTTGGGCATTATGGTTGAATTGTTTGTGTATTATTGTTGTCAAATTGGCGAGTAGTCTTTGGTGTTCTTGCAAGTCCGAGAATACATTGATGAAATAGGAGCACAGAGAATTGGAGTGCCTCTCCTCCCAAACCAATTTCCTGAGCACCATACTCCTCATCTCAACCATAAAGGCGTCGAACCATCCTACCCACGGGGAAGAGTCATTTGAGAGCGAAGTAGGGATTCGAATCTCTGCGAGCTCTATGACAACAAATGTTCCAATAATTAAATACTCGGCTCAGCTACGGGTCGGGTTATAAGTTAGTCCATAGTAATGCCTCCTCCTACGCTTATCTGTGAGATTATTAGACTCTGCCACAACAACATCACCGTATGTTGTTGCAATTGTATTCAGCAACTCGCACAACAATGTCGGACAACTCTCTTCCAGATGTTTGAAACCCTCTAATTGCATTATCACCACCACACATGTAACATTCCATCAATTCAACACTTAAAAAGTTTAACACACCATCTTCCTCTATATATCCGCCGCCCTCGGAGATAGGCCTAATGCCACGTAGCCCATAACCGCTGAGACTCTCCATTGCTTTGATCTCAACTTTGGTAAATGACATGATTCCTTTTACGTGAGAGAGACTTCTATGAGTTACCTGCGGGTACCCGTTATCCATTATGTACGGATAATGAGTACCCATTAACCCGTACGAATTTGAGCCAAGAGATGGAATTTTCTTTTCAAATAGGAATTAACCCGTACGGATAATGAGTACCCATTAACCCGTACGAATTTGAGCCAAGAGATGGAATTTTCTTTTCAAATAGGAATGAATACCCGTTTCAAACGGGACGGTTACCCACTCCCATCCTATTGCCCACCCCTACTTGGGCTGTACTGTAATGTTTTTCAAGTTTTGTTGGGCTTGTGTGTTTTTGAGTTTTTGACATTTTCATACCCTCCTCAAATCCTTTGCCTCTTGCTTATTTGGGCTTGTCCCTACTTGATAACACATGTACCGCAGTGTGACTATAAAATGCCCTTTGATTGTTTCCCACAAGGGCGGACGACAAACAGAAAATATTAACGCACGAGACGAGAGAGAAACGAGAGGAGGTTTCTCCCCCAAAACAAAACGGCAAAATCACCGCCACCAGGAGAGGCGGAGGAGGAGGAACAGCAGCCGGCTGGCGGAGCTACCACTGCGTCCTCCATCCCTCTCTATTTCTCTGCGCATTACTTCCCCCACTGTAAGCAACTCTCCGCGTCTGTTTTCCCCGAACTGATATTTCTTCCGACATTTCGTTTTTTCTTACTCGTGGCGGGAATCCCAGTTTCGTATCCACCGGGAAAATTCACAGCGCCAGCGGGTTCTTTTATCCCGGTGCTGTGGAATCTCGCATCTCGTTTTCGTCTTCCATTTCTCTTCCGTCTACGCTTCCCCTCCTCCTTGTTTGCATGATTGAGATTGAAGTTCCGCTGTGCCTCTTCTTCGTTTCCCGTGTTCTTTCCTAGTTTCGCTTTCCCTTACATTTTCGGGGATCGGGAAACGGGAGATTTTAGGGTTTCCATCGATTGCCTTACCGGAACTGGACGTGGCTTGTAAGCAGCGCTACTGGGTTGGTGAAAGAGACCGACGTAGCTCATGAGAAAACTCCTTTCTTTTTCCGTCGATTTCCAATTGCATTGACGTCGTTCTCGTTCATTCTTTACTGTGATTTGGTTACGATAAGTTTTCTTCATCGTTTTGCTGGTGTTCTCCTTCTTGGGGTAATGGCGTTACATGGTTCTGAATCGTAGCCGTTTCAAGTACTCGTTGGTTGGTTCCTCTGAATCATCAACGCCTGATCTGGGGCTTGTTCTGGTGGTTTGAGATTATCGGACCTGTGGGTTTCTCGCGTGTTCTCGTCAAGTGTAGATAGGTGAACTTGGAGCTCAAGGCTTGTCTTATAAGCATACGATCTTCGTTTTTGTTTGATTTTTGTGCAACAAAAATCAGGGGATTGAGATTGTAGATCTTCTGTAACAGCCTTGCCTTCTTTTGTCAGACTCTTCATTTAAGTGTAATGCTAATTCCGTTTCTGTTTTGGTCACGTCCCCCTCTCCCCTTGAGTGATTGCTCTGCTAATGCTTCTCCTTACTTGGGTGATTCTTCTCAACAGCCCAGGTATCAAATCTTTGCATCAGGATCGCTGAATCTATTTGGCATTGTCCGTCCCAGTGAGGTTTCAACTATGCCTTTGCTAAAAAAAACGCCATTTCCTTTGGTGGAGCCACCTGAAGATTTGGAGCCGAAACACCTTGTATACCAAGTTCGGTACACCAAAGAAATCTTCCATGATTATCAGTATCCTTCTCTTCATATTAAATTATCAAATTACAACATGTGACTTGAGCCTTGGATATAACAAGATCCTTATCATGGATCACTAAAGTTCCAGCAACGAAATGCAGGGATAAGTTCTTTTGAAAAGTCTATGTCCTCAGTAGCTGTACAGGATCTGTTCATAAGATTTTGTGGTGATGTAGACAAAGTTAGTTCATGGATTTTGCTTTAATGAACTTCATTGTTGTTTGTAGCCTCCAGAATGAGACTTTACCTGTTTGTTTTCCTTAAAATCTATCAGAGAGTATGTGAACAGGATAAATTTGTATCGTCAAAGAATTTGGACTTGTAAAATTAGCGGCAAGGCTAACTTGACATATGAAGAGGCCCTAGTTTCTGAAAGGCTCGCCACAGAGAAAGTTCAAGGGATTCCTAAAGAACTTATGGAGCCTGCTTTGCACATCATACAGTTCAGTAAGGACTTTGATGCTATTTTGTACCAAGGGTTGATTGTTTCCTTTCTTTCTCATCATAACTAGTTATTGGTATAGCCTAACGATTGTTTAGGATTAATTGTCCATCTTCTGAATGATCAATGATGATTATTCTGTGTTCTAACACGAGCCAGCCTGCATGTTCTGTGCCTTATTCCCTAACCCACTTTTGTTCTTCTGAACTCTCTGAAACGTTATGAACTGTATGCTTATAAAAAATCTTAATCTAATATGCACGGTGGTTGAAATTGTTGACTTTCTCTTATCTGGATTGTTGGAATATTGGATGGCCTTTTAGTTTATAGCAGAAGCCGTGTAGCTTGAACTATTCATTGAGATGTCACACGAAGCTAACTTTAAAGTCATGCTTAAGAGTGTCTAACAGGGTTATCAGAAATAATCGTCAATGTGCTTGTCTGACAGAAACCTGTGTGTGTATAAAGATGAATGTGTGCTTACTTATGTATCATTGTGATCTATAATATCAGGATGGCTAAATTTGACTCCATTTTCAGGTATGCTTCCACTGAAAGATCTCGCAGACACAATAAGTGCAAAATTGCAGGAACATAAGTATGTTGGGGATGAATTGCATGCTAGGAGGGGTGATATTTTCTTTCCATGCAAGATACTGAAGGTTGTGGAAGACAGTAATGGCAAGACTAGTTATGAGATAAGATGGCTTGAGAGGAATAAGAAGGTGTCGGAGACTTCAGTTGTTAATGGGGATGACCTGATAAGGAAGAAGAAACTATGTAGTAGAGACATTTTGAAGTCTTTTATACGGGAATCCACATACCGTAGAGATCCTTGGGTACTTCACGAGCGCTTGGCTGCAAAACATGGCATCTCAAGTGATCCACCTGAGGAGCTAAAAGACAAAGTTTCTGTCCTTGATGGAGTGATCATCGATAAAAAGAGGAAAACTGCTGGGGTAATGCTTCAAACAAGTAACATACTTTTTTCCGTATTAAAGTTATGATGTCATTCTCATGCATATACCTTCTTATAGGAAGGAGAAGAGTCAGGGAAGTGTAAAAAGAAAAAAGTGGAAGATGGAGCTGAAGTGAAAGATTTAGCAATTGACAGTAAATCAGGTTAGTTGTTGAGTTCTGAAACAATCTATGGGTTGGAAGGGAAGCATACGTTTTGAAATGATCAAGACTTGATAATATTCTCACTCTCTCTGTGATCCTGCAGAAGATAAGCAAGTTGAGCTGATCAAATATCCGATTGAGGATCTTTTAGTCCTACCAGCTGCGGATGATCCAGTCTTTACTGAACGGCCTTTACCTTCAAGGGAATTTAATGTTCCAATGGATTGTGTGGGAGATCTGTTACTGGTCTGGGACTATTGCTCTTCTTTTGGCAAGCTGTTGCATTTGTGGCCATTTTCTTTAGAAGACTTTGAAAATGCCATCTCCAGGAAGGATAGTAATATAATACTCATTGTCGAAACACATTCTGCTTTTCTACGTTTGCTACTTAAAGAAGATGGAGATCACTATTTTGCTGCACAGAAGAGGAATAGGAAGTCGAAGGTAAAATCTAATATCATCTCTGGCTTTATGGTAATAGGAAGGAATAATTGTAATTGCCAAAGGTGTATTTCACTAATTTGCCACTTCTCTATGGTTACAGATTACATTGCTCAATTGGACTGAATATCTTTGTGACTTCATAGAGAGGATAGGCACTCCTGATTTATCAGCCTCGACGTCAACTATTAAACGAGGACACTATGGCCTCTTAGACATTCAAGTGAAACTTGGAATATTACGGGAGTTGGTCAATGAAGCAGTTGAAACACTTATTTTCAGGAAGAAGATTGATGAGTATGTTGGACAGCGACAGGTGCTTGGAGCCACATTGAGAGGGGAGGTCCTGGAAGAAGCAAGAAAAAAACGGGAAGAGAAAGAGCGATCCAAATCTGAGGATGTTGCTAATGGAGTAAGCAATGGACATTGCATGGTTGATCCGGAGGGTCTGCCTTGCAAACTTGTCTCTGTTAATAAGCACAGTAGTCAAAACGGAGAGGTGGTAAGAAAACACAAGTCAGAGGTCTCATCTGAAGAGGACCATACATCAGATAAAAGGTATGGGCAACACTGCCTGTTTTATATGCCCATCACTATTATGTTGTTAGTACTGACGCTAGCATTTCTGGAATTTGTAACAACTTCTTACAGTGACAACAATGATTCTGAGACTGCCTCAAAGAAATCGGGCAAGGGACAGAACCAGGATGCGGAAAATGAAACAGGGACAAGTGAAGAGGCATCAAAACAGATGAAGGATGAACGGAGATTACCAACAGAGAAGAGGAGCAAAGATCAAAGGGTTGCGTGCCTCTACTATTTTCCTTTGTGCATTGGATTTATAGGCACTGCTGTCCTTGCAACAATTTCCTGACATTTTCCCTTGTATTCATTTGTGCCATAGAAGGAACAGTTAAATCGAGAGATGGAAAAACGGGTGATACGAACTGAATCCTTGGGTAAAGACAGATACTATAACAGATACTGGTGGTTCCAGCGTGATGGAAGGATATTCATTGAGAATTCTGACTCCAAAGAGTGGGGATTTTATAGTAGCATAGAAGAGGTATTAATGATTGGTATTTTCTGTGGACGAACCCTTCTCTTTAATCTGTATGTATATTAACATTTCATGAACGATTTGCAGCTTAGTGCATTAATGGGTTCTCTGAACCAAAAAGGTGAGAGAGAAAGGGCCCTTCACAAGGAGCTGGAGAAGTTCTACGGCAGAATTTGGTAAGTGATTTTCCCCTCTTTCTTGGTATCCCAACTTTAAACAGAGAGTCCGAGAAACAGCGAGGAAGAGCTCTTTGTGCTAGAAATGGGAGTAGTGGCCTTGTAAGAGTTCTATGTATTCGAAACTGGAGTAGGAGCCTTGCAGTGAAATGGGATTGGAAGGGAATGTTATTTAGTGTACATAGTTAGATCCCAAGATGGTGAATTATGGAGACTGAAATTGTGAAAAAGTCCCCTTTCCAACTGAGGGTAATCAGAATCTGGGCTTCTACTGCAGAAGTTTAATCATCATTGTTTTCTCCCATTTATGTAGTTGCTTGCCTTTTGATTAGAGAAGCAATACATACATATGTGCAGCTGGCTGCTACTGGTGTATAATGTGGTAATCTTGAATGATAAATGTTGGCACTTCCGTTTTCCATTTTGCAGTGCGGAACTGCAAAAGAGATCAAAGGATTTGGATAACAAAGTTGCAGTGGACGAGGCAGTGGTGAGGAGATCTACGCGTGTACGGGCCATACCAAGGGAAAATCCTGCAAACTCCTACATGAGGTATGTTAATAAGTGGAAGGAAGATTAAGCGATAATACTCGTGACATTTTAAGTTGTCGGGTGTTGGCCTCGGCTGATGAATCGCGAGGCGCTTCTCCATTGAGAAATGGATAGTAACAAATTCATTATTTTTGGTGGGCTGAGGAATTTTGTCGAAGCGGGTATAGAGTACAGTAGTATGTAGTGTCAGCTAACAGGAAGAAGGGAAGGATAGTGTCGGATGGGGTGGAAGTTTTCTTCTGGGTTTCATCCCATCCAGAATCACTGCAACTGCAATGGGGACATGCTGTTGGATAAATGACATTTTGGTTTAAACAGTCATTTTCGGCTCGAAGATTATCTTTATATCTTAATATCTTTATCTTTATATCTGTGGTTCACTTTCACACTGTTTTTTTTCCTCCTGGAAGGGCAAAAATGGCTCGAAGATTATCTTTATATTTTTGGGTAAGTTTAATGTGCGCTCAAATTTAGCACTTTGTACAATTTGCTATATGAAAGGATAGGAAGAGAAATTATTAGATACTCCCACTGTAGGAGATCTGTTCGCTGGTTGATAGCCGCTCGAGAATCGATTTCCAAAAGCACAACACAGCTCAAGCGAGCTCTGGTCCTTGCCCATAGCTCCGTGAGTACGGACGGGTACTGACTTTGTAGCAAAAACTTGTAAGCCACTAACAATTTGGGTTCCCCTGTTGCGGAATGCGGATGCATGGCTGTTGGACTTTTCTGTGTCATTGGTGTTGATCACTCAGACTGGCCATTTTTTTCTGCTACCTAATTTGGTTGCCAACTCGGAAGGAGGGGGCGTTCCTAGTCCTCGCCAGCTCTTTGGTATATGAGTACCATGTGAGAAAGGTGAGGAAAGAGTTATACGTGCAGCGTACAATCCTTGTCTGATCCATAGTTAGTAAAATACGGTACGGAAAAGTTACATATAAAATATGTACGGGTATTTTACTTTGTTCCTGAGCTAATGTTACGTTTAATAGTACGTAAATAATCGTAAATATATAAAATTAATTATTTTAAAAATAAATTAAAAATAAATAATATTAAAGTTAACAATTTAATTCATTAAATACGGATATTAAACATGATATACGGGTTTTATACGTGTTTAGTACGGGAGCCATCAAATGAACGCGGAAAAATGAAACGGCTTGACAATAATACGTATACGAAAGTTTTAAACGGATAAAATACGTACAGATACATATACGTGTATTAAACGGAGACGGATACATATACGTGTATTAAACGGAGTATTTACTAACTATACTCTGACCAAGAAAACATCTTATTGAAAGCTAAATAGGTAGGTGGTTTTTAGGTATGAAGCGGTTGAATCACGTTAAGTCAAGGTTTCAACAGAAAATATTATATTGTTGACTTTTTGGATATACCTTCCGGTACGATTTTGGAATCCTTGCTTGGAGCATTAAAAGCTAATATTGTCGGAATCAAACTGGAATATGAATTTGTAAAGCAATCAATTCACACTTTACTCGTTTAATTGGTATTAATCAAATAAAAATGAACCGTTGTCTTATAAAAAATTATTATAAGTAGGCACACATAATAATACATTAATATATATATATATATAAGTGACTACTTCGGTGCACTCAACAAAAATGAGTGCGATAAATGCACTCAACTCAAAAACTAATCTTAAGGTGTTTGATTTTGAATTTTTATTTGTAGAATTAGTGTGATATGATGATATAACATATGATAATAACTAATTAATGGATTACCCAAAGCCCTATACCCAGGGGCGTAGCTAGGATTTTGTCGAGGGTGGGTCCATTTAGAAAAAATACATACGATAAAATAATTTTGTTAGCTTTTTAAATCGTTCATGATATAATTTTGTATTTGCAAAAACTTGGTAAATTAAATTATATGTCAAAACTATCAAGAATATCACCATATATGTATCAAACAATTATTTATGATTTAGTTAGACATTTGCTTTTGAATCGTGTACTTCATCAAGACCGTTTAGTATCATTAACTCGAGTTGTTAGGAAAGATTTAATAATGAATCTAATACTATTTAGTAGTTACTAACACTTTTCTGCTTACTACAACCAACTTATGCGTGCTTAAAGTTTACGTAAATCCGAATATCATGTGTTTAACAAATGAGGTTACAAAGATTCAAACAAATGATATCTCGGTCAACCATTCTCAATTAGAAGTGCCCTAAATTTCATTCTCAATTATCTATTATACTAATTTACCCATTTTCATCCTTAGGAAACACTTGTTACAATCTCCCTACCCCTGATTGAAATAAAATTATTTTTACAAATGAATTATGATTTGGTGGAAATTTGTTGTAAATATTGAATACATACATCTTCAATTTTGGTCGAATCATATTGATAAACCGTTATTGCACATGTTTTTATCCCTATTCTGGAGCCGTTTGAGGTGTTGATTCTCGTGTTTTAGGACGATTTCACGCTAGGCTGTGCTTGTTTGTGATATTTCAGGTCCTAGTACGTGAATGAAGGTTTGGGAGCGAGTTCGGGGTCGATTGGACGAAGATCGGACGTGAGGCAAGTTGCTGAGGAAGCCACACACAAAACCCACACGGCTGTGCAAGTCACCAATGTGGCCGTGTGGGATTGTGCGAGCCTTCACACGGGCACAAATAAATTCCACACGGCCGTGTGAAGAGGCAATGTGGCCGTGTGGAATTCTGCGAGCCTTCACACGGGCAGACTGGGTGAGCTACACGGCCGTGTGCCCCTGGCCGTGTAGGAAACCTGAAACCCACATAATCGGAACGCGACGTTTTGACCTCACACGGGCAACTGGGTATGCCACACGGCCGTGTGGCCTGCCCGTGTGAGTCGGGATTTTCTGGTTTTAAGCCTATTTCCAGCCACAAGTGAGGGGGATTCGAGTTTTGGAGAGACAGAGCGATTCCTAGAGAGAGAAATCGACGAACAAGAGTTCCCAAGTGCCCTAGCTTGATCTTCATCACCATTGGAGTTTGGCTTGAGCTTGGAGGAGTGCCGATCAACGCCCAGGAGTAGAAATCCATCCTTCATAGTATGGTTTCCGCATCTGAATATGCTTTTGCTTCTTTCTCCATGGAGTAGTTCTCCCATTCATCTGGGTATGGGAAACCCTAGATTTGTATGTTAGGTTTGATTGTAAGAACCCAAGTACAAATTCTATGATTTGATTATATTCAATTGAGGTTTGAATGATTGAATGGCATGAATCCTGATCAAATTCATGTTGTTTCTGCTTTAACCTAGAAAGAGAATATCTGCCTAGGTTGATAGAGCACCCTTAATTGAAGGTAGCGAATTGGCGACTTTAGTCGAGGAGCCAATTCATTATTCTGTACCGAATTTACTTCGGTAGTGGAGGTTTTGTTCGTTAGGGCCTCAATCTGTTTACTCCGGTGGAGGTTAGTCGCCCGCTAGAGACTCAGATTGAGAGGGTCTGGAGACCTTTAGTCGAGACTTCAGACTGTTTAAGAACCTTCCGCAGTATAACTATCATAGAAATTGAACTTTGTAAATTGCAATCCGGCTTAACTGCATTCTAGGGGGAACCATATCCGGGTGACCTCTCTCGACTTGAAAACAACCGTTTAACTTGCTTTGTGTTTTTGTTTGTTTGAACCTGCACTTAAGTTTTACTGCTAGATAATAAGAATTCACTGAGTAGTCATCAAATCTAGGACCCGGGTTGACATTAAAACCCAAACCCGCTATACTACACTTTAGGAAGTGGTTACACTTGGCCAATTTCTAGAGTGACAGTAGGAGCGAGTCAAGTTTTTGGCGCCTTTGCCGAGGACGGCTAGGTTGTTGAAGAAACGTGAATTCTGTTAATTTAGCTTTTCTTTTCGCATTGTTTGCTTTGTCCCACTTGTGGCTTCACGGGTTTGCTTGCTTGATTGTGTGCAGGTAGTGCATGACCCGTAGCCAGTCGCGAGGTTTACTGCCATTGAATCCCGAAATTGAACGCACCTGTCGCCAACTCAGGAAACAACAACGAACTAGACTGGCTACGGAGGAGCGCATAGACGGCCACTTGAGCAGCGATTCGGAGGAAGAGTACGAGATGGACGGAGATTACAATCCACACTAGGGGAATCCTCAGCAGGCTCCCCCAGTGAATCAGGTCTTGGGGAACAACCCCATACCCCAGGCAGATGGGGTTCATCATCATCCACCGCCGTCGGGTCCCACCTTGGAGTACTACTACACTCCACGGATTGCTGACATCCGCCCGGTCATCCTCTACCCGCCTATTCCAGCGAACAACTTCGAGATCAAGCCATACTGGATTCAACTCATTACATCATCTATCCAGTTCCATGGCTTGAAGGATGAGGAGGCAATGGTGCATCTTTCCCGTTTTCTGCAGCTGACAAACGGGTTCAAGCTGAACGGTGTCCCTGATGACGCAATCCGCCTTCACCTCTTCCCCCATTCTCTGGCAGGGAATGCTAAGAGGTGGTTGGAGACCCAGCCCCCATTGTCCATTACCTCTTGGGACGATCTGGCTGACAAATTCGTACACAGGTACTATCCGGCATCGAAGACTACAGAGATCCAGCGGGAGATCACTCACTTCCGCCAAGAGCCAGACGAGTCACTTCGTGATGCATGGGAGCGGTACATGGGATATTTCTGGCAGTGTCCCCATCATGGCTTTAGTGATGCATTCACAGTGGGGAACTTCTACAGTGCTCTCTCTCCAGATAGCCAGAGGGTGATTGAGTCTCTATGCCCAGGAGGGGATATTCTTACTAAGACTCCACCCGAGCTGAACCAGATGATCAATACCTTGGCTGCTAGAAATCATTCTTGGGGACAGAGCAGCAGAGGCAGACATTCCCGGGACCGTGGTGTGCACGCCATGGAGACCAGATCTGGGCTCGAGCAGCAGGTAGCTGAGCTAGTGCAAACATTGAAGCAGCCCAACAGTCTTATTCCGGGCAGAGGTTTGGCTACACCTCCAGTAGCTCAATGTCAGTGGTGTGAGAGC